AGCCATGTTTTTAATTGGCTTTTAAAGACACCCAGCGAAGGGGCCATACAGATCTCTGAAGGTAAGCTGATCCCTCCCCCTCCCCCCCGTACTTCTGAGTATAAAACAACTTGATTTTTTCCTTCAATTATTTTAGGAAAAAGTGTCATTTTATACACAGAAAAATATGGTAGTTTTTAACTCCAAAACGAAAAGCAGTCAGATTGTCATTTCTTGTCCCTCTGAAAAATGTGAGGGGTGGAATCGGGGCCCAGGAAGATCCATAGCCCCCCAAAATGTATTGGGATCACATACGGTATACAAGTGGGACTTTACTCTCCTCTGTCCTAGTTCACTATATTTTTATTTGCTGTTCTCTCTGACTGGCCTGTCTTGTTATTGCTCTTGTTATATCTGGACTTGTATTTTCATTTGTTTTGTTGCCATATCATCTAGTCTCACATGATGCCTGGACACAGAAAGGTGGGTGAAAAATGCTGTACCAAAATAAACAAATCTATCCAGCAGAAATCCCTTTCAGGGCTCTTTTTAATCTAAGAATGTTTTATCTGGCAGTACCACAGGACTGAAGCTGGTAAATTCATCCTCCTCTCTTCTGCCGAGCAATAATTTCTGCCTAGAAAAGTCTCTTGTTCCGTGAACTCAACAGTCAAGACATAATTCTGCCGGGAGGTAGCCCATTCGACGTCAGTCGCTCAAGTGTGATAAAAGGCTTTGTGGGACAATGTACGGCTGCATTCTACAGAGAGAGGGAATGCGCTCAGCGCCCGTCTCTGTTCCATTCCAGACGGGAACAGTTTGACTTCATCTAGACTCTTCAGGAAACCTTGTGAGATCACTAGGTTTGAATAATAGCTGACCCTAGAGCATCGGCATAAACAATGGCAGACGTTAACGGCTTCCGCAGATTCCAGTGGAGATGCATTTCTACTGAGGATTCTCATTTTCTAACTGGATATGTTAAGAAATGAACTTTGGGCCAGTGTTAATTTAACAAACCACATGCTTAGCATAAGCTGTTAGCTGAATCACCTCCATGCCAAAAAAGGAGAAAAAAGGTGGTTGGGCATGCAGCACCTCCAGAAAGGATGTCGCTTTGCACAAAATGAAATTGTGCATAAATGTATGTTTATATGAACGCTTGGAAGTAAGCACTGTACAGTAATTTGAATTGACATAATGTGAGCAAGAGCTTGGAAAAGCTCTTTAGATGGCTGACAACCCTCAGAAGCTCTGAACCGATATGGCTACTGTCATTTCAACATTGGGAAGAAGACTGCAGCTGTGCAGCGTGTGAGCCTCTTTATCCAGGACGTAAATGGTGACGGGCAACTTCAAGGCCCCTTTAAGTTCTTTCTAAATAGATCGTGCTTCTCTGTGAAATCAGCTCCATGGATACCATGGCTTTATGCTGTTGGCTAACATTTTAGCAGAGATTCCGAATATTGCTACATCACAGCATTGTGGGAAGTTAAAATGGCAGCCATTCAGGACCAACCAGTGTAACTCTACATATTCCACCACAGCCTGGTAAAAAGAAATAGGAAGTACTCTTCAGAGTAGAATTAGGCCCGTTATTCCAAGGGTGCTTTTCACTCTAGACCCATACGTTTACCACAGCAATGCAAAGAGCATCAGAATTTGCAACATTTCCTTTATTTTGATTGCAATCCGAGAATCCCAGAATCCCTGAAGCTGATATTTTACTGTATCTAACTAACTATATAGCTATTTTGGAATGAAGGATGCAGATTCTGAAGGAATATGGGCCAGAATCCTATTTTTGTTAGAGGAAAGTTTGTGTAATTTACCACAGCTAATTGTGGCTAATGGATGAGATGCTATAGCACTTCTTGGTTGCTCCCTCTATCATGTGACCAAGCACCTAACCAAGAACCACAGCCGTATCAGTTAGCCACAATTATCTGTAGCAAGTTGTATCTTAGATAAATACCAATAGGATTTTAGCTATAGTTGGAAAATCACTGTGCTGTGCTTAACAACACAAAACAATACGGCATTTCAAGACTACCTTTTGCTCCTCGTATGCATCTTTTAAGCAGACATAATTAGTCAGGGCTCGCATGGCAATTGGCAGCTTCCCGATGGCCTTCAGGTCGATCGGCTTCCGGTGAGCTGATATGATGAGCGTGTTCATCCACCAATACGTTCCTTTTGAGAGTAAGTTGACAAAGGGCTGGAGAAACCTCACGCCCAGATCCTGCAGATCTTCAGGAGGCTTCACTTTTTGAGGGTTTGTGAAAAATACATATTTCTGAAGAAAAAGCAACATGGAATGTGTTAAAACCCATCCACCCACTACCAGACATTTAAATCTACAGAATGATAACCACAAAGTAGTCATTTTTATGACACGGTCACTTGGAGAGTTGTAAACATGGTTCAGTTGTTACCACATAGAGGTTTTTTTTTGAGGGGAGGGTATTTTTGGTCAAAAATCATCCCCATAAACCTGCAGCAAGGGCCCTCATATCAGCAGGATCAGTATTCATGGATTCAATGGTTGTTGTGGGTTTTTCGGGCTCTTTGGCCGTGTTCTGAAGGTTGTTCTTCCTAATGTTTCGCGAGTCTCTGTGGCCGGCATCTTCAGAGGACAGCAACCTGTACTCTGGTGTGGTTGCTTTCCTCCTAAGATGCCGGCCACAGAGACTGGCGAAACGTTAGGAAGAACAACCTACAGAACACGGCCAAAGAGCCCGAAAAACCCACAACAACCATTAGATCCCGGCTGTGAAAGCCTTCGCGAATATATTCATGGGTTCACTTATCCACGGTCTGAACATATTAAATGAAAACACCCAGAAATACGTATTTTCACGATGTTATTACCAGAGCGTGCCTCTAACGTAACCAAAGACTATGCTATATATGGGTTTACTATTATCTGCGATTTTCAGCATCTGCGGGGGTGGGTGGGCTTGGAACTAATCCCCTATGATTACCACAGTCCTACTGTATTCCTTTTTGCCATCTACTTCCACTGAAGATCTTTACATTAAATTTGCAAAAGTCTAGGGGACTTCTGGATGGGGGAAATATAGGGAGCAGGACTGATATATACCCCCACATCCCACCGCTTGCTGAGTCCACCATGGATTCGAGTCCAGCTTCCTTCTACACTATTGAGGCAGGGGAAAAAAAGAGTTTGTTGGTTGATCAATTTCATCCTTAACATCAAAACTGGAAGACTTCTAGATGTTGTCAGCCAATAACAACTCCTATCCTTCCTGAACACTGGCCATGTTTCCTGGGGATGAAGGACGGCGGACCTCTGAAGTATTTGGTGGACTTGTGTGTCACACACACACCCCAGTTAGGCTTTGACTCTGCAGAGCGACACCTTTTTAGGAACTCTCCTTCAGCGCTCACTCTAGCCCTGAAGAACCAATGCAAAAATGTCCCGGCCTTTGGCCATGCCATCAATTGCCCAGTACAGTATTTCAGAAGAGCAGAACATACCCTAACACGGATGACGTTGATCTCCACTGCCATGAGCAACCCATAGAGCACAACCATAATTCCCGTAATGCACACACGCAGCAGAGTAAACTGGATCCCATCCTGGCAATATTTGACTAGCTTGATGGTTTTGGTAATAAAGGCCATGATCCAGTAGACAAAGAGAGCTGTGGTGTACAAAAGAAAGAAGAATACTTAATTTTGGGCTGCATTGACAGAAGCAGAGTCTCCAAATCCCGTGAGGTACTAGTTCCTCCTCTGTTCGGCATTGGTTAGGCCTCATCCTGAGTACTGTGCCCATTCTGGACACCATGCTTCTAGAAGGATGCTGACAAACTGGAACAAGTTCAGAGGAGGGCAACAAGGATGATCAGGGGACTGGAAACCAAGCCCCAGGAGGAAAGACTGAAAGAACTGGGCATGTTTAGCCTTGAGGAAAGAAAACCAAGGGGAGAACTGATAGCACTTTTCAAATACCTGAAAGGCAGTGGGGAAGATCTGTTTTCAGTCATCTTTGACTGCAGGACACAAAACGATGGGCTCCAGTTACAGGAAGCCAGATTTCCATTGAATATTATGAAAAAAAAATATTCTAACTGTTACAGCAGTACGACAATGGAACCAATTACTTCGAGAGGCAGTGAGTGTTCCAACACTGGAGACATTCAAGGGAAATTCAGGCAACCAACGGACACATATCCTTTGATCTGTATTCCTGCACTGAGCATGGGGTTGGACTTGATGGCCTTTTATAGGCCCCTTCCAACTTCATGATTCTATGATTCTAATTGCACCATGCCCACATATGCGATTTATTCTCCAATTCAGGGTTGAGCAATTTTTGGCCCTAAGACATGGATGGACCTCTACCCAATATTTTGGCTGTGATCCTGTCCACAGCTGGCATCTATCTTCCTGAATGGAGAAGCAAGATTACTTGTACAGTATTTGCACTAAGCAAACATTTAATCGAAACCAGAATTTAAAGAAAATATGTATAGTTTAGAAACAAATTGTAGGGAACTAGTAGTTAATAGCAGAACTAAATTACCAGGTTAAATAGCATTAATCTGTGATCTGAATTTCCTTACTTTTGGGGATATATTTTCAACCATAAGTTTGCCCTGAAGTGCAGGTTGATGGTGACCTGGATTTTATTTTATTTTATTTCTATTTGGAGAATTTCTCTGTTTTTTTAAATGTAGCAATACAGAGATGTCAGTGTTGGGAGAGAGAAAAAAACTTTTATCTTTTCAGAACAACATAAACTTTGAGATTTGTTTCTAAAGCATAGGAAACATTCAGAAGCATAACAGCACCTTGTACAAACCAGCCCCTCCCCAAACAGCTGAATCTCTAAGGAACCAGCACACCCTAGCAAAAGAGATGGCGCTGCATATAGGTCGTGAAGAAAAAGGTCTTTATCACTAAAAGGTGCTGGTCATGGTTAGTGTGCCACTCAAAATTTCACCTCCAAACAAACAAACAAACAAACAAAAACACAGCACATTTTGGGATCAGCCATTGTTCCGTTAATAGCTAGGCCTAACCAACAGAGGGAGGGTTAGAAGGCCACAATTTATATTCCACAATTGCTTCCCTAAATTGTCCATTCGGGTACAAAGCACAAGTAGAGAGTTTAGTTTTTCAGGGCTGACAGATAGAACTGCAGTACCCATGGACAAGAGTAGGATGAAAAAGCTACCAGAAAGAGTTTAAAAAGAGCACAGTTTCCGTTGGAGTTGTTGCATTCTCGCATGCTTCCTCTAGTAAGTGTGGCTGGGAGGGACCTTCCTGGGTTGGGATAGCGTTATCCATCTATCCAGCACCAAACAATCACTCATTCCCTGTCTCTGAATTCAAAGAGAGCCTTGCCTCTCCATTCTCTTTTCCTCTCTTTTGTCTATTAGAAGCAGTTGAGGCCTATTGCTCAAAGCAGTCATGTTTTTCAGTTTTGCTGTAGGTCTTTTTTAATTGTAAGTAATAACACCTTTTTATTCTCTCTATTGCAAATGGCTAGGTAAAGGTAAAAGTTCCCCTTGACATTCTTAGTCCAATCGTGTCTGATTCTAGGGTGTGTGTGCTCATCCCGTTTTTCAAGCCGTAGAGCCAGCGCTTGTCTGAAGACAGTTTCCATGGTCACGTGGCCAGCGTGACTAGGGAAAGCCGTTTTACCTTCCCACCGAGGTGGTCCCTATCTATCTATTCGCATTGACATGTTTTCAAACTGCTAGGTTGGCAAGGAGCTGGGACAAAGCGACGGGAGCTCACTCCGTCGCATAGATTCGATTTTACGATTGCTGGTCTTCTGACCCTGCAGCACAGAGGCTCCTGCGGTTTAGCCTAGAGATGGGGATATTTGTATCCGTATATGAATTCAAATATCCCTGCACAAGTAGCGGTAATGAGGCTCCTGGCAGGAGGTGGGATGACAAGGTTGAAGAGCCAATCGCCAGCTCTGGAGTGTGATGTTACCTGTCTGTCATGGGTTTGGAGGGAAAGTTCCATCCTATGGGGAGTGGAAGGCGGGACATCAGGAGGAGGGGCTGTACTGTATATATATGTGATGCGTGTGTGGAGAAGTTTAGACGCTGGGATGTGACGAAGCAGCAGCTGGGAAAAAGAAGCTGGTGTGGGAGTCTGTGTGTCAGACAGGGTACTACTGTGTGTCAGAGTACCAACCTGATAGGTTCAGGTGTCTGTTGGTTAGCCAGAACTGATAGGTTCAGGGTCTGTGCTTCAAGTTAAGGGTTCTGTGTGAACCAAACTGTATGCATGTATGAATGAGAATAAGCCACGTTACTTTATCTTATTCACCTGATCATTTTATTTTCCCTGTGTGTTGTATTTAAATAAACCTTATTCTTTTATTGGTTAAAAATCCATCCCTGGTCTGTGTGACTTCTTACAGGGAATGGTTGGTGGCAGCTTAGTTAACGTGTGGCAGATCCCAGTAGGTCTGGGTTTGTCACATTGATTGGTGTCCAGCGTGTGGGATACGACTGGTCCAGTTGTCCAGCGGTCCAGCAAAGCCTTGGCAAGTGTGCCCAGAGCAAGGGGGGTCTAGTCAGGGACAATCTGAGAGCGCGTAGGTAATCTTCTAGGTGTGCCTCACGGGGAGGTGCGCTAGTGGAAGAACGTGCCAACTGGGGACTAGATTAGGGAGCTCTGAGGCAACCTGTTTTGGCGGGAAAAAAGCTGAGGCAAAACTGT